CCATTTTTAAAACGCTTACACCAGTTGTAAGTTTGTGTCTGGTCTAAACTGTTTTCACCAAAAGCTTGCTTCAACATTTGGTGCGTTTCTGCAGCGGTTTTCCCAAGTTTGAAACAAAACTTTATACAGACACGCTGCTCTATCAGGTCAGCCATCGCAAAACCACAAACTCATGGAAACACAACAATGGAAATACATTCACCAACAATAAACCCAACCACTCAACTCAACGCCACTTGCCACACTGATTCAAGAAGGATGTGTGAGGAGACACCTAGCGGTATTTTGATGTACTCATTACCATTCGCGCGCAAAATTCAAATTTCGTAAACTTTTGAATTGCCCCACGTAGAATCATGTCACAGATTCTTAAAGATGTAGAAAGGATAAAAACATGGACAAAGCTAATATTTATTTGGCTGTAACCTCATAAAAATAATTCTAGCATTACCTGCTTTGGCATTTTTACAAATTGTTCTAATTTAGGCCACACCTCTTGTTCAAATGTGGCATGGGGGAACACCTTGGAAACTAGGCCACATTCTTTTGCTTCATGAGCATCCATCTTATAACCGAAGTATAGCATCTCACTTGCCTGCAATGAATGCACAGTTTTATTCAAGAAAATGATACATATCAATTTACAGTTTTCTGATTCCTTTTCAGCTCCTTCCACTTATTTCAAACATTTTTCATAGAACTTCATTTCAGATACCTGTAATTTATGTTATTCCCTCAAAGAGGCCATGTTTCCTTGACAAAGAACAGCATGATTTGTATCACTCACTTGGTATTACTGGCATAGTCAAATGAAAGAAGTTATGATGGGGACATCAAGCAAGGATGAGAGAAATAAGAAATCTGACATCACTAAATGCATACAATATTTTGGTAGGGTATGCCATGGGAAGCAACCAATTGAAATAAGCAGATTAGATTCATCTGGCTCAAGATGGGGGCCAGTGGTGGGCCCTTGTGAACATGGTAATGAACCTTCTGATTTCATAATATGGTGGGAATTTCTTGGGTGGCTGAGCGACTGCTGCCTTCTCAAGAAGGCTCAGCTCCTTGGAGTCAGTCCATCCTTCCATAACAATGAATTTCATTTGGTTGTACAATACAGCTGATATTTTGATGAATAGTCAAGTCAGGATTATAGTGGATTCAAAACATAGTCTGGACAGGAAGACAAGAAATGCACATGAAACATAACTGAGAATATATTGGAAAATAACCATAGTAATCCCTTATTTAACACAGGGCTAATGCCCTTCATAAGTAGCTATTAAACTCTTTGGTAAGTTTGCTTCAGCACTAGCCCCAATGGCTGTCTTGACTTCTGACAGAAGATTTATTGATATGAAAGTGCCTTTCAACACATCCTACATTCTCACTACACTCTACAGTGTATCAAGAATGTCAATTTTCTTTTCTAGAGACTTTACCTTTTTTATCTCTTCGCAGGATTGAGACCACATTTTGGGGTTAAACAATGCAGTACATTATAAAGAAGGGAAAGTTACTCCAACTTCGTGAAAGGTGCATTAAGCTACCCAACATGTTCTCACAGTGAGTGCCATGGTACCATTGTGACACTGAGCACTGGAAGTGGGTGCAGAATGATCACAGTGTGTCTGGTCCAAGATGCACTCTGTTACCTGTTATACTTGTAATGGTGGTGGAAATGGAGGTACGGTTGGCTCATTAATATTCAGGCAATTTATTTAATTTCATGAATCAAGTTTTTATATTTGCACTGAAGAGATTTGTTATATCAATGTTCTCTTTGAATCTTGTAAATTGATTAAGTTTTTTATATATATATAATTTGTATGGTTTGATTGATGTAGGTGATTGTATCTATGAGACTTATGTAATTTTGTATATGAACACTGTAAAATGGACTATTTCCATATCCTGGGTTGTGCCTGTACATGGATACATGGAAAATAAATGAAAGAATGAACAGTTGTGCATGAACTGTACATGGACACATGTTAATATGTGGATAATTGAAATTAAATCCTTTTTGTATGAAATAGGTATTTAGTTGCAAATTGTGCACAATCAAAACTGTATTACCTAAACCTTATCTACCTTACTTGGAAGACCAAGAAGGAAGTGGGAAAATATTAAAGTACAGTAAACCCTCATTAATATGGTTACATGTAATCTGGAATGAAATATGAAAAATGCTGTTCACAGTTGAGTACATACTTTAAAAGACACATGGCGTTTAGGAAGGCAGATGAGTCACTTGTATGTGCAGAAAAAAAAATTGACAGTTTCTTTAGGCCTGCATTACAACATTCAAAAATGAAGTAAGCAACTTCTGAGTCTTCTAATGATGAATAAATGTATTGTCTTTTTAAAGTTGTTCTTAAATGAAGGCTCTATGGTGATACTTTTTTTATTTATTTTCATCAGCACTATATATCATTGGGGGCACATGGTAGCATAGTTGGTTGAGGCACTACGCTACAAGCCGGAAGGTTGCGGGATTGAATCCCAATGAGGTGGATTTTTTCTATTACCTAACCTAATCCTTCCAGCCACACTATGGCCCTGGGGTCGACTTAGCCTCTAACAGAAATAAGTACCAGGAATATTCCTGGGGGTAAAGGGCAGCTGGTGCATAAGGCTGACAACCTCATTGCCATCTGTGAGCCAACTGTCTAGAAAATGTGGAAACCTCGACCTCTCACAACCCTATGGACCTCCATGGCCAGTTACACGGATACCTTTACCTACTTATATCATTAAATAATTTTCCATTTATTTGTGTTCTAATTCCCCCCCACCCCCCTTTTAGGACTACCTTTTGCTTCACTAATCCACATTATCACTTAATCGGGATGGCCTCCCATCTTTGCTCAGTATCATGTCCCATGATGATTCACAGTATTAACAGTTTTCAGCCTTCATGTTCTGTTACCAGAGTTGGTTTAAACCTTCATCATCATGTGAATTAGTGATAAAATATTTTCTGTTTATCTAAATTTGGTTTTGAAACAGTTACATGCAGAAAACGACTGGCATACACACCTTACTTGATCCCATAATCCGAGGAAATGTGTAGGAAGAACAACCCTCTGCCACAAGACCAAGTTTTGTAAATGGTGTACAAAAATAAGCCTAAAACAAAATTGTGACAGAATATCATTATTCATACAAGTTTTCAATATCAACATTTTACATACCAGTTTTACCCTCAGAAAAAACAAACAAACAAAACGAATGCTATAAAAAGAAATTAAAATTATAATGCTCATAACTTTTAACATGAATCTGACATCTCAGAAAGTTATATACTGAACAGGTATAGCAGAAATGCTATAAATTTGTATTTGGAAAGTGCTCAGTTCAAATTTTGGTGAGGACATCAACTAGCCTGACTGAGGTTTTTCACTGTTTTCCTCAGTTCCTCCACACAAATACTTGGATACTGCCTCATTAGGTCATTACTGCTTCCTTGCAAATCCATTCAAATTCGTATCATCCTATCAGTTGATGCTGCACAGTCTAAGATACTGACTACCATGAAGAAAAACACAGTTACTGAACATTTTACTCCAGATTTCAAATTTGCATTTTATCAAACAGTTTAAGCTGCAGGTGTGAGCTGTAGGCTCCCTCAGTCTATGAATACTGCTAGCATAATTTTCATTTCATGCATCCTGTTGTGTTATAATACACAATTTATTTATTAAAACCATCACAACACAACTATATCAAGGTCAGTGCCTAGTTTGGCTCTGCTACATGTTTCGGCTATTAAAAGCCATCATCAGGCAAATACGTGGTGTGTTCAAAAAATATATCGAACCTTTGGTCGGCAGAAATACATTTATTGATTTGGAGGTACAAAACCCTAACCCCTTCAAAGTAGTCTCCTTGGTAATGCACACACTTCTCCCAGCGCTTCCGCCATTGTTGGAAACACTTCTGAAACGTGCCTTTCGGAATGGTGATCAGCCGGGCCGTCGCATTCCACATGATGTCTTCTCTTGACTGAAATTGGGTTCCTTTCAGCGGCATTTTCAGCTTGGGAAATAGCCAAAAGTCACACAGAGCCATGTCAGGGTAGTAGGGAGCCTGACGAACCACAGGGATGTTGTGTTTGGCGACAAAAGTCTGAATCAGATGCGCAGAATGGGCGGGTGCGTTATCATGATGGAGCTGCCAAGTTTTTGCTGCCCACAGATCCGGTCGTTTGCACCACACAGCATCACGAAGGCGATGAAGGACCTCCTGGTAGTATTCCTTTGTGATGGTTTGGCCTTGTGGCGCATACTCATGATGCACAACCCCACGGGAGCAATGAAAACGGCCACATGACCGTGACATTGCTGCGGACCTGCTATGCTTTTTTTTTCCACCTCAGGGATGTCGGATGTTTCCACTGTGACGACTGCATCTTGGTTTCCGGGTCGTACCCATAAACCCACGACTCATCGCCTGTGATCACGGTGTACAGATAGTTGGGGTTACTGTTTGCATTGTCCAGCATATCCTGTGCGATTTCCAGATGGTGTTGCTTCTGCTCCATTGTTAGCAGTTTTGGTATGAATTTCACTGACACTCTCCTCATGCCCATATCCTAGGTCAAAATTGAATGTACCAATCCAATGCTTAGCCCTAGCTCATTCGCAAGTTCTCAGACTGCAATACGACGGTCCTCCATGACCAAAGTCCGCACTTGCTCAATGACATTTTCATTTCGGCTTGTTGAGGGTTTGCCTGAATGCGGTTCACTGTCCACTAATTTGTGCGGCCATCTTTGAAGCGGTTGTACCACTCTTTTATCCGTGAGTTGCTTATGGCATCGTCCCCAAAAGCCTGTTGAATCTTGCGAATGATTTCCACTTGGGTATTGCCAAGCTTTTGGCAAAATTTGATGCAATATCGCTGCTCATGTTGTTCCGTCATTTTACACCTTACTGGAATCCGACGAGCGCTCACTACACGTCCTCACTCATAGGCCGACTGCCAGCGACTGACTCTTTCTGCGGGAGGGAAAAATTCACGACTGCGCATGAATGTCCCCTCCACATCTCCACCGAAGGGACCCTCCTGCGCTTCATTGGTTTACACAGGAAAAAAGAAGGTTCGATACTTTTTGAACACACCACGTACATGTCTAACATATATACACCACTGAACTGCAGTATTAATAAAATTGGATAGAATAATATTAATTATATTAAAATATTTGGCGTAAAAACACAACAAATTAGATCATATGAAACAAAAGTTATAGTATAAAACAAGAATAAAATTCTTCGATTGATGCTTTACATCATCGAGTCAGTTGTAAGTCTTTGTGATTTTGTTGCATTCCCATGGACAAATTTGAGTACTCTATATATTTTGTGTATATATAATAAACTGTTATTGGAGGCTCAAGATGTAGATGTAGTCATATTAATGTTAATTATTTAGTCGGTGCCTCATCTTACAAAGTATTGTCCGTTCTGTAGGGAATGTAAACGACTGATTTGGTGATGTATGTATGTTGTACATACATCATCATATCAGTCGTTGTTTAAATTTTCTACAGAACGGACAATACTTCCTTCCTTACTGCATTTCGCACCTGTGCCCTCCTGACAAGCCCTGTGAACTGCGCGCACCTAGCCAATGAAGCAATTTAACCGTTTTCTTAACCCTCCCCTCCCCTGTTACAGCAGTAAACGTAAATGATGCAAAAAGGGCATATATCTAAAAGCATATGGTCAATACAACCCATAACCGACAATTCAAACTTACTGTAACACCATTATGCAGTTGTTGCCATCTTCAACACACACTCCACCGAATCAAATATGACATAAATGCAAATGGGGGAACATCAGTAAATTGTATCAGCTCTAACACTGCAGATCTAATTTACAAGGGAGAAGGTATGTACTATAAAATATTTATCTAGAAGTACAACTGAAACAGAAACCATTTGAAGGGGAAATATGTTCCCAACCCTTTTGATTCCACTATAAAACTTTACTGTATTAAGATTTAAAAATGCTTATGATCTGCTATAATGTCAAGTGCTTACTCAGTACTTGATAGTCAACTCTATTCTGTGCCTTGTTACACTTACTGCAATAATCAGTCACATTTATTTACGTCTGTCACAACATATAACTGATCTCAGAAGAGCAGAAAGTCTGTGATAGTACCTTATCTGATGCGTAAACCACATCACAGAGGCCCAGTATTGTCACAGCTATTCCAAATGCAGGTCCATTAACCACAGCTACAAGGATCTTGGGAAAATCAATAAACGCAGATACAAAGTCCCTGAAAGAGCGAATTGGCATTACTTAAATCAGTTCATTGTCCGTGTCTGATAGAAGAGAACATTCTGTATCTTTTGTGTCTCATACCGGACTCTGTCACAACTCTGGTCTATTGCCTGAGTAATATTTGCTTTGGAAAATGTTTCTAGCGTTTTTGATATGTCATTTCCACTGCTGTAGAAGTCACCTGCACCAGTCAAAGCTGTTATAACCACTCTGTCATCCACTGCAGCCTCTTTAAGCAGCCGTGTGAGACCAATGTACATCTGCAACATTATGCACACATGAACAAAATGCTAACACTAATCATCCTGTTTGTCTTGTATCACTGTGACATGTGCTCTGTGTTTTATAACTATAAATTCTGAGTGTCCGAAAAGAAACTGATGAGAAATATATTTGCACCTAAGAGGGATGAAGTAAGTGACAAAGGGTACTGCAGAACAAAAAATTTTGTCACTTATACAGGTTTCTTAGTATGATTAAGATGTGACAGGTTGGAGGGATGAAACAAATGCATAAAAATTTCTTCAGGGAAATCTCTAGGAAGGTGACTCCCTAGAAGACTGCGGAGCTAGGATAATATTAAGACTGATCTTTGTGAGGTAAGCTGTAAGAATCCAAAATACAGTCAAATCAGTAAAAGAACTGGCAAAGATTTTCTTCCATTTGCCTGTCCAGAAGTTACCTCCTTCCCTGTGCCTTCTCCCAGCTGCCACCATCTAGAGGCCATGCAGTGTAGGTAGGGTGGGGGAGCAGGCAGCTGCCTTTGCTCCTACTACCCAATGTTGATTCTTTCGTTGACTCTACTTCAGGCTTAACTAGCCGAAGACTGTACCAATTATAGGAGTGTTGAATTCTTGGGCTCTTTACAAGAGGTTGTGAGATGTTGGGGCTTCCACATCTTCTCTAGACAATCAGCTCACAGATGGCGGTAAGGTTCTCAGCCTTACAAGCCAGCCACCCTTTACACCCCAGGGAGATTCCTGGTACTCATTTCTGTTAGAGGCTAAGTCAACCCCAGGGTCATAGTTCGACTGGAAGGATTAGGTACATTGAAAAAAAGAAATCCACCTCATCAGGACTTGAACCTGCAACCTTCTGTCTTGTAGCATAGTGCCTCAACCATATATACTACTGCACGCCCTGAGACATAAGTAATCACTGTATTGTCAAGACATTAAAATAGTACCAAAGTTAATATATAATTGTGCAAAAGTCACTAGAACTAACATATAAGCAGTGTTTTAATTAGATATGTATTATTTGGAATGAGTTTACAGTCCTAACCTAACACCAATGAATACAGCAAAATGCCAGCTGAAGGGATGAGGATCATGAAGAAGCACAACATGTGATATGTTTTATGGCCTTCTCCTCTCATACTAGAAACATTTTCATGTCAATGCAACAATAGCATGTGGGTTGGCTATCTAACTGATAGCACCAGTTCCAAATAAACGCTTTTCATCAACATATGGGAGAATGGAGATAATTTTTATCATTCCCCGCACCCATCACTAGAACCATATTAATGCTGATATTCACAATACCTCTACAGTAATTGCGTTCTTGTGGCTAGGTCTGTTGAACTTTATTATGAGAAGACCATTTCGTAGGGTAACTTCCAGTCCTTCAGGAGTCTGTGTTTCCATTCTAATACTTTATTATTTTGCATGGATGTTTACCTATACAAACACACAACATTGAAAATAAATAAACATATATATGCTATACATATGGGGGCAATCAAGTTGGAACCACTTCTGCTAATACTGTGACATATGGGCCGTTTCTATAACAATAGAGGAATGTCCATGAACATACTCACGGCAACAAATACAAGCAACAAAAGAACTACAGCGTCATTTCTATGCGACAACCAATAAACACTCCCCCATTAAGGATGAGACAACATGGGAGAAACTGTGTTTTCTATGCAGTCTGCACCAAGAAAAAACGCATGGAATAGGATGTGTTGTTAAGCAATGAAGTTGTAAACATGCATCCTTAAAAAAAGACATTTTCCATAGGGTCCATGCAGGGGAGTTATCTTGAAGACAATCGGCAATATGGGTATGTCAGTTCTAAGTACGAGATAGCCACGGGAAGTTGGTAGTTAGAGAAGAATTATTAGTCTGCCTGCAAAGGCTTAACGTGTAATTCGAAGACTTTATCGGTATGGGTGCTGTTATGCAGTGATATCTGGAGTGTGAGCAGTAGTTGCTGTGTTAAAATCCAATGCCAGTATGTGGATAGGGAAAACCTTGCAGAGGAATGGTCATTGTTTAGATCTGTGAAACTGTTTCCTGATCAACCCATTCCTCAAGCCAAATAACCTAAAATAACCTAAAATACCCTATTACTATTTGATATCGAATTCCTGATTTTCATAAGATGGGCTTCCTCGGATATCAGAATTTTACTAATACTGTTTAATTATACTAACAAAGCACGACTTCTATTCGTACCTAAATTGATACTTTGACAACAAATCTTCTGCACCCACCTAACACCGGAAACAAATTCTGAACCTTTCGTCTGTTTGCAGAAATTGTAAGTCATAGTGATATACAATTTCTTCTTCTTCTTCTTCTTCTTCTAATAACCCTGTCTCAAACGCGTTTGCTAAACTCATTATGGCTTCAATATGTGCATAATATGACCTAATATACTTAGAACAAAGGAATTTCTACGGAGAGGAAACAGAGAACAATAAATTTATAAGCCATTATACCATTCTGCTTTCACACAATATCCCAACCGGAAATACGGTGTCTCTAGTTAGCACACTATATGCGCAAGCGCAGTGAAATAGTCACACTCCGGAGCAAAACAGGTTGGCGTTTGTTAAGTTTTGTGACTTTTAATTAGTGTTCCGCGATGAAGTAGTGATGGAATAATTGACTGTATGTAGCTGCCTATGTTTTATATCTCTTCAAGAGCCCTGTAGAGGCCGCTGCTGTGCAAAGGGTAGGATAATGTTATGAGTTTATTTGTGATACGGTAGCCGACTACCAGTTGTGATGTGGGTACATTTTGCGTGTATGTTTTGCAGATAGTATCGTTAGCTTTCTGATCTTCATGGTTTTTAGATGTCACAAGAAATTTCCTTAAATTTATCATTCCAGTAGTCTGGAAGTAAATGTATGTACATAGTAAAGTTTCCTACTAAATTGCGTTTTATTTTCGTATGTTTCGGTGGCGGTGGCCAAAATGCTAGTGTTCTTACTGTTATCATCCTTCAGTAAACATTGAATAACGGAGAAAACTACATTACTGAAAGTATTTGGAAGTAATCAGAAGCAATTGGCGTAAATCGTTAAATACATATTCGGCGTGCCATAATTTACATGTTAGCTTTTAGCTTATCAGTAAACTTCGGTTACTTTTATACCATCATGTGTTCTGATGTTGAATTTTATAATTGATGTTATGTGATAGTTTAGAAATCCTTCAGAATACAGTGACAAGTGCACGTATGAGGTTATTGCTCTGAAGTGCAACAACAGTTACATTTGAGTTTTCATTTGGTTGTGTTAGTGCTGTAGCAAAATACTGCAGAAGTCACCAATTAAGTATTGGGTGTATTGCGTTATGTTACTGTTACAGTTTATGATCGCCTAAACAGCAAATTGTCTGACTGTGGGCTGGACGGCCAAGGTTTGATTCCTGGCAGAGGCAGGATTTTGCTTTTTGGAATCATTTTTATAGTCTGGCCCTTGGGCTCACTCAGCCAGGTATTTGAGGGATAGTGGGGGCTTTTTTCATGGGGCTTCTAGTGGCTTGACCATTAAGCTGTTTGATATTAAGAATGTATGGAGCATTACCTCCACTTACTCTGTGCATCTTCATAATGTGGTACTTATATAAGGGGGTGACTATCTGATATGCTAAGTTCAGTTAATTTTTTTTAAATATTTCATATATTTTACATTTACCCCATCCTTGAATCACTTTGTTTTATCCATATTAGTAATTAATTTCTTTTTAGTTTACCAGGAGGAAGAAAATCTCTTCAGTTTGAAGTAACATGCATTGCCTCCATCACATAAGTCATGCAGTACTATTAGATTAAAAAAGAAAACAATGATTGTGCCTTGCAAGGAATGAGTGCCTTCCTTTCGGCTGTACAGAAGATTCTCATTATGTTGTACAAGTTTATGTATATAACTTTACCATGGATTGTACTAACAAGCTCTTAGGACTAAAGAGTAAGGTACCTGACACAAACGTATGGTGTAAGGAAAATGGATGTATGTACTAGTAATGGAGTAGGTGGTGAACAAATTCTAGAATCAGTCAGAAGTGCTAAATTAGAAGAGGACGTGGATTTACTTACCACCAAGGAGGGTGAAAAAGTGAATGAAGTGATTATTCACTCAGAGACAGTGGTTCAGGAATTTGTTGTTCCCAACAGTCCAATTGAAAAGCCTGTTGCTGCTGTTCCAAGAATGCCCCAGCAATCTGGTCCACGGAACACAACACATGAAGAAGCTGCAGGTGTGCCATCGTCTGTAGCAACTCCAAGTTTTGCTATTCCACCCCATCTGATGGGGCGTAATGTTGACAACCCTACTGAGGACATGATAGGTAGTGGACGCAAACTTCAGAAACCTCGCCTTGGAGTTCGTGTACCATACCGTAATTTGACAAGCCAGATTGTGACGCAGGATGAAATTGCTCAAGAATTGCTTGAACGTTCACTGAAGAAACATCCTGTTCATGATACACCTGAAGGGGGAGATTTGTTCTTTACTATGAAACTTACTCAGCGTTTGGCAAATCGTTTATCACCATCTGTAGCAGTCAGTGCAAGCATCAGTGGACATGATATTGAGACGATTGCTGGCAAATCGGGGCAGTTTCAGCAGAATGCTGACACTAATTGCATTCTCCCTCCTGGTTACACTTTGGTACCTGAATCAACAGCCATTCCTGACCATGGAGAACTGCTAGCAATATTAGAAGGAGATGCAGATCCAGATTGGATACCAGATACTAATCCACCAACTCTCGAGGAAGGTGTTAAACCAGTGTCTCTGGTAGACTCGAGTAGGCCACCTGCATTGATAGAGGCTGGATCTAGTTCAGATCATGTATCTGTACATTCTGGCCCCCCAAAACTTGATCCATTAGTTGAAAGAGAAATGGCACTTAAACAGCTTATGGAATTACCAATACGCAGTAAGAAAAAGAAGACTGTGGAAGGAAGTACAAAAGGTTCAAAAACACCACAGAAAAGTAGGGAACGTGTAAAGAGAGAATCACATGTCCAGAAGAATGAAGCGAAGTCAGCCACAGGACCAGTCAACCCACAGGATTCTGAGAACAACAACAGAGCCTCAGTGAATGGAAATTTCAAAGTTGAGGCTGGCTCAGCACTAAAACAGAAACAGGTGCGGAAAAGGAAGCTGGCAGATGCAGGAGAACCAAATACAAAGCAACCAAATATAGCTAAGAAAAATAAGACTGATAAGAAACCAAAATTTGTAAGAGCCACAGCAACAAGGAAACAGGCAGTAGCCAAGAGTCCTGTTCTAAATAATGGCATCATTGGAAGCAGTGCTGTTAGTGTAACTCCTAAACGAAGAAAGATCACTAATCCCAAGAGCCCCGAGTCAAAAAATGGAGTTTTGGGTGTGAATACATCTGGCAGGTCAGTACCTGGGACTTCAGAGGAATCTGCCAAGACTAACCTGTCAGGTGGAAATTCTGATGATGAATTTCAAGAATCGATGCTTATGCATTCTCGGAAGTTTGCAACACCTCCAAGAACCTACAGTCCTCGGAAGAGAGTAGTCAAGCCAGGTGGTCTTTCATCATCACCCAAAAAGAATGCGGTTGCTGCAATTCTTGTGGAAGAAATTGGGTTTGCTTTGTCTCAGTGTACACCAAATTCCTCTATGAAATGTGATGAAGGATCCAAATCTGGTAGTTTGTCTTCCAAAGTTCATGCCATACCTTCAAGAAGTACTGAAAATGTACTTACAAAAGTGACTGAGGATTCAAGTCCTAAAGTTCTGGGAGAATTGACAACAAAGAATGTGGAGACTGCATCAAAAAGTATTGTTGGCCTTATATCAAGGAATGAGGAAGCTTCAAGTCCCAAACCAGCTGCAAGTATATCTGAAGGTATAATTAATACACCACAGTCAGCAAAGAGAAATATTAATGTGTCTGCTTCTGGACAAGCAAGCAGTGATTCAAAAAGGAGAAGAATGAGAGAAATTGACCGTTTGCTTATGGATGAAGGTGCAATAAACTTGCTGTATGAAGTAGAACAAGGGGAATCAAAACGTCGTAGTGGACCACTAGAAAGCATTTCCAGCAGTCCCAGGCGTAAGATGCGCTCTCCACTGAAGTCTCTGCGTAGGCAGAAGAAGGACCTCCAGTTGAAGACACGCCTTGTTAAGAATGCGGTGCTTAGACTTAGCAGTATTGCAGCCTCTCCATCGACAGCTGTTGCTTTGCGTGCAAGAAGACAGATTGGTCCCCCAACCCTCCAGTTGGCCACAAGTCAAAGTCCATACCGATCACTTCAGCGAAAGAAGTCACTGGACTCTAGGGAGTCTCTTCGTTCCCCGCCACCGTTAACTCCTGTTGATCCTCCATCACCTTCCCAGTCCTTTTCATTCCCACCAAGGCTGCATCTGCCAGCAGAGGCATCCAGAATCATTCGCAGGCATTCCTCAAGTAGTACTTTTTCCAGTCGCAGCACCAGTCCCAACCTGCAGCATCGAAACAGTGTTGATTTGGTTCAGTCACCTGAAAATTTTGAAAACAAACCTGACAATCATGTGAAAGCAGGGAACTGTATTCCTGCTTCGTCAGGCTCCAAGGGTTCTTCAGAAGTAGATGATACAAAACGGACAGAAGCACGTAAGAAAGGCGTTCCCATATTTGTCAGGAAGCTAGAAACCACCCAGACTTACAAAGGGAAGAAGAAAAAGGAGCCTAGTGGCAGTGATACTGGAGTTTTGCATCTTAGTGAAAATGCCGAAAAGTTGTTGGAGATGAAATGCAAAGAACTTAAAATTCATCACAGAACTCACACAGACATGACTAAGAAACCACCAGCAAGTGTAGATGTTAAGAAGAAGGTTCTGATAGGTGCTACACAGACAGGCACGCACAAAAGAATGAGTTCTACAGTCAAAATGAAAATAAAAAACCAAATGACAAAAAGTTTCCAAAAAGGAAAATCAGTTCAACTAAAAAAGCCAGTTTCTGAAAATCCAGTCAGTAAACTTAAGAGAAAGGAGGATACGAGGGACATGGTAGATGCTGTGGATGTAGAAATGCCAGACTTGACATCATGCTTGGCTGCTGTGGCTACTGAATTTGCAGCAGGGGATGAAAGTGTCAAGAAGGCAACACATTTAAGGAGAAGTTCCCACGATTCCTTACCGGGCCCCCGTCAGGGCTCCAAGAGCCCATCCTCCAGTCAACAGCCTCCCCTTCTGAGAAAAGAAGCAAGAGATGTTCCTCCTCCGCTCAGCCCCAACGCTTCAAGTAAGTTGATGAGGCGCTCATTTATCAGTTATAGTAAATCATCTCCATAGTTACGCGGTAATCATCATACACATAATTCTTACTTACCAGGTCCAGAAATTGTAAGGAATCCAAGATTTTACACCTCAGACAAGAGTAAGATAATGCACTTACTGAGCTATGATTTTAACTTCTATTAAATTAAAGCCAGGAATTTGACTACCTTAAATTTTGCTGTGTAGAGCTGTCATATATTTATATATCTCTGTGATAAAAGTTCTTATTATTTCTGTAAGGTTACTCAACACTGATTAAAACATTGGAGACTGAAAGCCAGAAACCAAAAAAGAAAGAAGAGGAGGGTCAAAAGCAAAGGTCAAGCATTCGTCAGAATGCGGGAACATATCACTACAGGGAGATTTCTCTTCGTCGCTATGACAACCTGGTTCAGATCATCCTTACTCCAGCTTCTACCAAAATGAAAAATTCCCTTAACTTGCAGGTAAGGAAAATTGGCAGCTGTACAACCCAAAGGTTTATCATGTTCACAAAGAAATGTCTTTGGAAACTGTTTTAAGCCAGTTTAGTCTTATTCACATTTTAATGACCTCTTTCTTGAAAATCAATTATCGTCTGTTCTTAGGTCTCCCAAATGCTCTACACTTAAGATAATTTTAAGCCAAAGTTTTGTATGATTTTCTTGTTTACCTCATACATAAAATGTGCCCTGTTCATTTCATCCTTCACCCTTTCAAGATAAAATACATTTTAAGATTTATGAAGGTTAATTAACACTGTCCAGTGTGACTAATAAGATTTGTTTTCTTCTTTTTAATCTTTTATCCTTGACATGTTTTGTCTTATAAACCATCTTCAGAAGGATATCAATACAATTAGAAACCACTATTACAATGTGTTTTGTGAATATTAATATATGCATACAGTGTTATCATAATATACAATTAATACAAAATCTAATATTTTAACAACTGCAGCGGTGTGTAATAATACGTTAAAATATTTTTAAATTACAATTAGTATGTTTAAAGAGAGTTTGTTAAATTTTTTTAACCAAATTAGTTTGTGTCCTCTTTATTTCTTCTCTTTGAAGGAAGTTGAGGGTCTACCAGCTTGTGATTCCATTGTTTGGAGAATAGGATTCTTTAGTGTTGCCCTGTGATGTTGTTCAGGGCACGCTGTGTTATACTCAGTATATACATACAGTGTTATCATAAGACCCATGATTATGTACGGCGCCACAGTATGGTGGCCCAGAGTTAAACTCAAGACAAGCAAGGCAAATTGCAAATTGCAAAAGTTGGCTTGCTTGGGTATCACAGGAGCAATTTGAACATCTCCAACAGCTGCACTGGAGATACTCCTTGGACTCCCCCCACTGCATCTACAGTTGGTGGCAGAGGCCAGGGCAGGAATCTACCATCTTCAATGCAGTGATCAATGGAAACCTAGATCCGATAATTTCGGACATGCATGCATAACTCAGGACAGGAAGAAAGAACCCATATTACAAATGGAGTCTAAAAAAATGATACTGAGACATGTATATGAAAACCCCTTCACAGGAGTGAATGGGAAGATGGGTTTTGGCCCAATAGAAAAGGGGGACTGATCTGGTATACAAATGGTTCCAAGATAAATAAGAGCACTGGAGCTGGTGTGTACTGCTATGGCACGAGGCGGAAACTTAGTTTCAGCCTTGGGCAGTACACGACAGTATTCCAGGCAGAAGTATATGCCATTAAGGCACATATTATGGAGAATCTAGATAGGAACTACAGAAATAGCAACATCTACATTCTGTCTGACAGCCAAGCTGCACTTAAAGCGCTTGACAAACACCAGATAAACTCAAAATTGGTCTGGGATTGCCTCCAAACTCTCACGGAACTGGCCAAACATAACAGGGTAGAACTGATATGGGTGCCGGGGCATGAGGGTATTGCTGGAAAGAAAACAGCAGATCAGTTGGCTAAGACTGGAGCTGAACATCCGTTCATAGGACCTGAGCCGGCCTGTGGCATCTCTATAGGAGTTGCCAGAAAGGCAGTCAGGGACAGCACAAGAAATACTGGGAATCCTTGACTGGACTCAGGCAAGCAAAGGGACTCATATGAGGACCCTCTGCTAAAAGACCAAAGGAACTGTTGAAGCTAAACAGGAACCAGCTACGATGGGTGGTAGGACTACTTACAGGACACTGTCACCTTAAAGGACACCTCTTCAAACTGGGACTAAGTGACAGTCCCACTTGTGAGAGGTGTCAAGAAGATAATGAAACAACCACACATATCTTCTGTGAGTGTGAGGCCTTAGCTTATTTAAGATTACGTCACTTGGGTCACTACTTTGTGGAACCAAGTGACTATTTCGACACCCCCACGTGCAAAATGCTCCATTTCATTCAAAGCACAGGATTGCTAAGGGGATAATCAGAAGGGGAGGCACAATAGATCACTGTAGGTCGCAGTGCAAGGGCCAAAAAGGCCCACCCCTTATACATTCATTGTTAGGAGAAAAGGATTATTTTGTGTCTTGTTGTTGGGGGCTCACTGTGTTTTTATACTCAATATACATACAATGTTGTCATAATACAATGAATACAAAATCTGATATTTTAACAACTACAGCGGCATGTACTAATATGTATATTTTTCCCACCGTGGCGGCCCAGGTTCGATCCCGGGTTTGGTCAAGTGGGATTTGTGGTGGACAGAGTGGCACTGGGGCAGGTTTTCTCCGGGTACTTCAGTTCCCCTGCCAATCTTCATTCCACCAAATTCTCCATCATCATAATCACCTGGGGCAGGCTACAATAGGACAATCAGTGGCTGCCGTTCCGAGCAGACCCAGTTGGACTCCACCCCTCACTAATCAAACTAAAAAAAAATGTATATTTTATCAGACACTGGACGGTGTTATTTAATCTTTATAAATATTGCTAGTGACAGACCAGGATGAACCAAATCAAACGTTTTGAGATGTTCATGCTCATTGTTTATTCATTTTTTCTTTGTTTTGAGCTGTGCAACCAGTTTGCTGTTTATTATGCTAAGACTATAAGGATACTGAATTGATAGGTCCTTCGTGAACTGCGAGAAGTTCTTAATAATTTGAAGCGAGATGAGGGGTGTCGAGTGGTTCTGTTGACATCAACGGGGAGTTCATTTTGCCAGGGAATTGACTTCCATAGTCTCCTCCACTCAAATGCTGACAAACGGAAGACTGCTGCTCAAGATTTGGCTGAAGCACTCAAGTAAGTTGTGATACCAATATTTTATTGTTAATTAACTATCTTCTTTTGGATTCTGATTGTTTTCTTATTCCCTGTCATTGTATCCTAACAGTGATATATATTGGTAGTACAGGTAGAGGTTATGTTAGGATGTAATCACATTAAATACATTCTGATACTGAGCTGCAGTAGGAGTTGGGTTCATTCTGAATAAGAAGCAAAAAAAATTCTGTAGGCTTAATTGTGTACCAAAATTGTTAAGGTACTAACCCCAATTTTGTTTTTAAAACAGCTAAACATCATAAACATGTTTATTTCCTGTAATTTATGGGAGTTAATTTATTTTATTTTCTGTGTAATGGAGGTAATTAAATATTATAGGGTACTTATTTTTGTTTTTCCAAATTTAATTTAAATCTACTTCTTGCACCACCTTTTCTTCAACTTACTCATGTGTATATGTAGTGAATCATTTGTACAAGCAGTTGGTCGTTATCATGTCATAATACTAGCAATTATTATCGAGGATTGTATCGGACATGTTACACTACACTGTTAACAACAGTCGACACACAGTTAATCATCTCAAGATGTAAGCAGTATTGCCATGTCTCCTTTTGGATTTGTCTTCTGTTCTTGACGATTTCCCTTTCTGAGCACAAGTGTAAGGAGCCTCACATCAGTATAACATCTTAATGCAGATATTTTCTTTACACTGCCTGAAAGATTTCAGTGCACCAATTTGAAAACCTCTGATGTGTGACATACTTTATGTTATGAAAGCGAAGACTGAATGTAGAAACCTGGGTACCAAGTGACAAAGTTTACGTCATGCATCAGAAGAATTCTTAAGAAGGTAGTAGCTTCTCAGAAAGTCAAGAAACTCCCTGCCTTTTATGGAGAGGTTCATTACTGTATTCAGACTAGGCTGACGTTGGACCCGTCCAGATCCTGAACAGTCCGAGGTGGCAAGAAGGTAGCTGCAAATATATATATTGAATAAGAATTTGTGGACAGCCACAAGGTGTGGTCCTCTAGCTTGGGCATGGGGCTAACGACTCCTCACGATAAGAAAACAGTTACAAAATGTTACACAGAGCCTTGGACTTGAATTGATACCAGAGGAACGGGGACGTGAGATGAGTGGAGATTTGGCTCTTGGAATGTAATGAGTCTCTATATGTCAGGTTCACTGGCACCAGTTGCAAGGCAAATTGGAAAGTTTAAATTAGATTTATTGAGGGTACAGGTGGTGAAATGGGATGGGTGGCACTGAACCAGTACCTATTATGTAGAAGAGATTAGTAAGACAATGTATATCCATTGTTTTCAATAATTGAATGTAGTACAGAAATCTGACATACACCAAGCTGCAGTAATGTGGTCAGTAGGGGCCAGCACAATGTGGAGGTGCCATTCACGAAGGTGAACACAGATGTCACAGGTGCATTTCCTCATAGAAGAAGTGGTGATACGCCTGTTGACTACTCAGGATGAGCTGCCATAAGGAGGGAGCAATGTGACATGATGTCTGAAAGCTGGAATAGTGGAACAGGAAGAGGCAACCATTGCCAGACCACACATTTTCATGGCAGCAAATAAACATGAAGCTGCAGAGGTACTGTTGGAAGTGACAGTTCCTCTGCACTCGTTGCCAAGACTGACACTGGCATCAGCAGTCCAGTCATTCTTGAGTAGCATTGTTAGCAGCCGCTGCCTACCAGTGACTAATGCTGTAAGGTAAAGGTAAAGTTTTCCCTGTGCTTAACTAAGTAAGCACTATGCCATGAAGGCATATGGGGAATGGTTGTATAGATCCATGTTTTCTTGACCTCATCACTAGTTTCAAGTGAGTGGTCAGCTTCATGCCCCGGCTTCTTTACCTTCTGAGGAAAGAGCCCCCAGTACCCATTGTATAGGAGGTTGGGTAGCCCTCAGAGCTGATCTGGACAACATGGAGAATTGAAAATTCTTGCCCCCCCCCCCCAGGACTTGAACTCCGACTCCTCCGTCCTTCAGCCCGTAGCCAGTCACTGTACCAACTGTGCTATCCCAGCTCCTTTATGTGTGCTGTAGTTGAAGTAATCTACAGAGTATGTAAATCAATGAGAATACAATGTGAATACAAATTATGAGTGTTCAATAGATTCAACTATCAGTCCAAATGCCTTGTCTAGTCACTAACACACAGCAGCATTAGAGTAAGAAGTGGGTTTCATGTTTTCATTTCTGATGACTCTGATGTCTTTTATTGGATTACCTTCAGGGAGTTCCTGAAAAGCCTTGCCTTGTTCAACAAGCCACTTGTGGCAGGAGTCCATGCAGCAGCTGTGGGACTAGGAGTTACAATGCTTCCATTCTTTGACATGGTTTTTGCAAGTGACAAAGCCACATTTTACACACCTTATGCCAAATTAGGCCAAGTACCTGAGGGGGCAGCTATATTAACACTGCCCCACATGCTGGGAAATGCTGTGGTGAGTACATTTGCACTTACAGATTATAGTGTTTTATCATTACCTTTGCTCATCAATTTTGTTATGTCCTTTATGCACTCCTTCCACTCTTGCACTGTCAAATTGGCTAGTTACGTGCCATTCATTACGGTATCCAGCCTCACCCCCTTGCAAATTCAGCCACTCTCTTCACAGTGACTAACTTTCAGGCAGACCAAAATGCAATGCCTCTACATTGTCCTGCACATACGTGGGTAGGCAGAAAAGTAATGCACACATGCTTGTAGAGCATGAACAAAAACAAATAGCAAGATCGGGCAAAAAGTACATTAAAGTGCAATTCTTAAGTTTCAAACGCATATATTTATTTTTCAACATAGTCACCGATAAGGCTAACACATTTCTCCCAACGTGTAACAAGTTTTTTCATTCTGTCACTGAAAAATTCTTCCGACTTTTCTCGAATCCAGGACTTGACAGCTGCCTTCACCTCATCGTCCGAGGTGTAATGATTACCCATTATATGTATACAGTGGCCGTCTTGTAGTGCACTCAATTTCACCTGTCACTTCACAACATGTTTCGGCAACATAGTGCCATCATCAGGTGTCCCAATTACGTCAGTCTATTGCAATCTATCTAATTGGGACACCTGATGATGGCACTATGTTGCCGAAACATGTTGTGAAGTGACAGGTGAAATTGAGTGCACTACAAGACGGCCACTGTATACATATAATGGATGAAAATCAGTGCAACAGGACGCTAAAATATAACATTATGTGTAATGATTACCCTTGAGGTCTCTCTTGAGTAGAGGAAAAAAATAAAAATTGCAAGGCGCAAGATGGGGGGAATAAGGAGGGTGTGGAATCGGTTCAAACTTCAGGTTTCGCAGAGCCTCTTCAGTTGCGCGCGAGGTGTGTGGACGAGCGTTGTCATGTTGCAAGATTATTGGCCCAGGCTGCCTCTAACACGACGAACTCGATGCTGGAGGTGTTTTAGAGTCTGTATGTACTGAGAAGAATTTACCGTTGCCCCTCGTTCCAGAAAATCGGTCACATAAACTCAGTGAGCATGCCAAAACACAGTCAAAAGAAGTTTTTTGGCGGATGGTTGTGTTTTGAACTTTTTTGCCTGAGGAGAAGACGGATGTCGATATTCAGCGCTCTGTCTTTTCTCTTCCGGGTCATAACAATGGACCCATGACTCGTCCCCTGTCACAATATTCAAAAGAAAGTCGTATCCTTCGTCACGGTAACGCTGCAAAAGTTGCTCGCAGCATTCCAATCGATGCTGTTTGTTCTCGTCTGTGAGACGGTGTGGTACCCATCGTGAACAGATTTTACAGTATCCCAATTGTTCAATAATGAAGCCGACACGTTCCTTGGATATTCCAATATGGTTTGTGATACGCTTTTGAGTTATTCGCCGGCCATTTTGAATCAGATCATCGACAAGTTTGCGATGATTATCATCTGTGGCAGTGATCGGATGTCCGCTGCGTGTTTCATCAACAATTATGGCTTTTCCAGGCTCGCAACCATGAAATTTTATTACCCATCAGTTTACAGTAGACCTATCAACAGCATTGTCACCATAAACAGCCTTTGAATGACAATGAATCTCAGTAGGAGTCACTTTTTCAGCAGTTAAAAATTCGATAACAGCACGCTGTTTAACTCGCATTGACATAGCACTAGAACACGTCTCCATACTTCCGCTTTTCGAAATACAATGAATGAACACAACGACCTCAAACCTGCGCATGCGTATTGAGGGGGGGAATGTTACTTCCACATGCCACCTGGCGCGCTTCTGAAGGTCATTTCGTTCGCGATTTACAAGCATGTGTGCATTACTTTTCAGCCTACCTACATACTTTAAGGTTAATAGTTAAATTTATGTAAAACCTCAGGCTGTGTGTCATACGTGGAGACAGGAAAATCTCATGTGTCGGTTGTTTGTGGAGCCCCTGCATTCTGAATCCGTTGCTTAGGACATTTGTCAGAACTCCGAAAATGGTAGTATTGGAATTTCTGTTGTATATTATCATATCCACAGAGTCAGACAGCGCTTCCTGTTTGTCTTGTACACAACAGTCTTTCTGATTCTCTTCAGTTTTTAAGAAACTATTTTGGAATAAAATCAAAGGTAGCTGTTTTGTGTCGTATTCAAAACTTCTAGTAAAATCTGAACCTGTTGTGAATATTTTTTATGTTCCAGGAGAAAACTTAAACAAGAGATACGTAGCATAAGTCTGAAGTTCACGGTACATGTACAAATGTGTATCCATTTTTCAAACTAAATTTTTATGATATCTTTTCTTTGGCAGTTTTGCTTTTATGTGGTCACCTAAGTATGTATGTTTTCTGTGGAATGAGTATAGAGTTAAAGAGTTCCGTCATCTGGACTATAGTACTATGTAGTTCATTGAAAGTCATCTGACCTTTTGGAGGAACATGTCACCTGCATCTTCAGACTATACACGGCATTATATTCCAGAAGATAGAAGTTTTCATAACCACTACTTTGAGAACCTAAAATCCTGCAGAATATAGAGTTATCTGTGTAGCAGTCAGCATGCATTCCTTTGTTAAAGTAAGCTGCCCCGAACCAAAAGTTGAATAGGTGCTGGTAAATGTGGCAGTACCTAGCCAGGCTTGGCTGTAAAATCTATTTGAGAGGTGGTTAGGTTAAAAGAAATGGATTGTGTCTCACAGTATAATGCTGGTTTTTATCATTTATTACTTTGGCAGATGGTTCTGTCAGTATAGAATCAATAAAGAACAATTCAGGCAACGTGAAATTAAAGCAAATATCATTGTAATATTAGTATTTCAGAGTATGTTTTAAACTGCAAGTTCAAATGCTTTCCTTTTGGTCAAAGTTGCTGTGATGCCTGAATAAGTCTCCTTAATTTCCAGTCAGGTGTCTATGTTTTTTAACATACTTGTGGTGAGAAATCAGTTTCTCGCTTTGACTGAAGGGAATGAGGGAAAAGGAAATCTTATGAGCGAGAACACTGTGAAAGCACAAGCAGTCCAGCCAGACACTCAGGGGAGCACATTTTAGGAAGAAGCTTTGAACTAACATTGACAGCAGGAAAGAAGGGTGGCAAAAATGTTATTCTTTTGAGGCGGCAAAATATTATATGCTAGCCCTACACTTTGGGCATAGTTGCGTCATGTTTTTGGGAATGTTTCATTGCACAGAGGAGATCATACATGATTTCATAAGTTGCATATTGTATGTATATAATGTAAAGTTCTTCTCAAGATACTGATCTCTTAGACGTTATTAGACACATAAGGTAAGGACTGAAAATTTGAACAAAATCAGCGTGATAGATGGCAGGCTGGCAATCACCAAGCTGACCAGGTAGAAAAGTGCTGACATTAAGCATTAATGCTCTGATACTCTGAATAATAATGAGGATTTTGATGCAGTTTATGTTGGATAATGTTTGTGATATGTTTTCCCCTCATTTAGACAAGTGAGCTACTGTTTGGGTGCCGGAAGCTAACTGCTAGCGAGGCCCTGCACTTTGGCCTGGTTACGCGAATATTGTGGCCAGCCAAGTTCCAGGAGGAGCTGATCCCCATTATTCGTAGCATGGCTAGTCAATCTGCTCAGGTGAGTCATTAGACGTCTCATAACTTCACACTTTCCGTGTCATATCTGAGATTTGTTACTGATACATTGTCCAGGCTACTTTATCTGTCCAATTTCACATAGTAACATTTCATGAAAAGGTAGAATGTTTCCTTTATTGCACTTTGAGCACATAATTCTTTCCTTTGTCACTAGATGGAGCATGTGATTCCTTCATTATGTTATTTGCTTTGTCTTTCTTTATAGTAACATAATGCACACCACTAATTTAAAGAAAAAAACAATTGCTTGACCATGAGTTAAGGCAGCAAAGAGTGGGCAGCTGAATTGTTACATTAAGATCAGTTATGTTCTTTGTCTCGTACCTTGTAAACACTAATTGGACAGTAAAGTAAAGGTAGGACACTCTGAGAGAAGTTTGTACTTCCATTTTAGAAGTATTGAAAAACTTCTCTTTGCTAACCTGCCTCTCCCCTGCATTTTCCTGCTGACAATTGCTTTGCAGTTACATTGTTATCAGACTGAGTACTGGTGTTTAGTAACACTAAGTCTGCTTGCATTTTATGACTCTCTTTCATGGTGGTGGTGGTGGTGGTGGTGATGGTGACGGTGACGATGACGATGACGATGACGATGATGATGATGATCATCATCATCATCATCATTTCCAGTGTTCGGTGTGCAGATAACCTTGAAACTGATGCACCTTTAAAGGCACACACTCAATGTTAGGTGTACTGAGACTCATTATGGATATTACAGAAAGACCCCTTCTGTTTCAGATATATTGCCAGACTTGCTTTGCCTGTTGGTTGATATTTTAAGATCTTTTTGAAATCCTAATTACCAACTTCTTCTGTATTGTTCTTTAGATTCTGTTACCTCAGAAATCTGTATGCTTCATATCAATTTTCTTTCTTCTTTTTCTTTTTTATGTTATGGCTCAAAAGAGTATATCCTGCAGTCCACATGAAATGCATTTCTGCTGATGTCAGTCCTTTGCTCGTCATGTAGTGTCTGCAGTTCGCAACCATAGGACAGTGTTGATCTAGCAAGTGTCTTATTCTTGTAGAAACTAATAATAGTGTGAAGACCTGATTTATGTATTTGGCTATTTTGACAAAATGTATTACTTTTAGATCTGAATACTTTCTACTTCATAGGATGTATTATATCCCAAATAATTAAAAATATGTCACATGTAAGATGGTACACGTGACAAAATGACGGGTTCTAGTTTGGATGATTGGTTATATTAATGCTTCGGTTACAACCTGTTTTAATTACACTCAAATGACAGCACTGTTGCTGATTTACACACTCCTCATAATTCACTATTAAACACTCCCAATATTAAAGATAAATAAAGTCTTCGCATGACAAAATTTCTGTGGCTCTCTTCCACAGAGGCTCAGTGTCACTTAAAACACACTCAAATACTCTGAAACACTGAAATCTGTTCTGTCTCTAACTGTCGTTATATAGCCTCCACACCAACCACACAGAAATGAGCCTATATTGTTGTAGAGAATTGTTTACCATGACATTGTATAGCAATCGCAATGCCGACCACATTGAAAACGCCGTACTTCTATTGTTCTCTTGCATGTATTCGGTCATGAGGTGTTTTAACTGTCGGTTACCTAGCAACATTCCGGCCGTCCGTATTATAATATTAATTTGTTTCAGTATCCCATCATAATGCCTGTCTTGCTTCTAATTGGTTCAATTTCTCTGTTAACCATAATTTTAGTAATACTAATGTGTGTAATAATTTTGTAATGCACAGTGAAAGCAAAATGCAGTGAAATACTTATTTAAGGTTTCTTTGGAGACTAATGGATTTGAACACTAAACTGGGTAAAATCTTAAATGGAAGTAATTTAACTCTTGAGTCTATTGACTTGGAATCACTGAGGCTAAAAAAACGAAGGAAAGCATTAAGTGGGAGTCTCACTGTTTGCCGTTTTTAAGGTACAAAGTAACAATGTGTTTTCAGTGTGGCAACTCTGGTTATACATAGTAATCATTTCACTTGTAACTGAGTGATGAAATCTTCAGTAGGCTAAGAAGTAGACATGTTATCACACCTGATGAGAGTTTTACTTCTGCTAGTTATGCAGTAGGTTCATCTGGAGAGACTTTGGTTTAGTGTTTATCGGACGTCGCTTTTCAGTCACAAAAGTAATGGAAAGATTATTAAGGAATTTCAGTTTCTTCCATTAATTGATCTTTTTAAAACAATTTTAGAATATTCTCACATGTAGGATGTCTCTCTTAATTACAGACAATACAGCACTATCACAGATTTACACACTTTCCTGTTCACCGTTGCATGCGCACTAGGATTATCTGTTTCCACTAGTCATCTCCTAGCAACAGAAACTGTCACTTCAAATCACTTTGAAGTCTTCTTGTTATTGTCACGTGTTGGGTGTTTAAGGCGACAAATAATTTCACGCTATATTTGATATAGCGAATTTTATTCCACACTCGCTCATACCGTCACACAATTTTCAGTCTCACAACTACTGCTATCTGCAGTATTACAGTTACTTGGCCTGCGAAGGCTAGACTACAACTGAAACGTTGACTGCCTGGCTAACTCGTAACTATCTCGTAAACTAAACTGTGAATAGTCTTCGCTGCTCCTTATTTAGCCTCGTTCCGGACAACACAGAAAACAGCTACGTAATAGGCACCACTGTTGTGTGGCGCCATGTTACGTCACCGCGAGGAGAGGGGCGGGGTGTTGACTTGCCTATTACCATAGTAAAGACAGCGTTCCGATGCCACCACGTACTGCTGGGTTGGGAGGGGCTGTCCTCCATTGCACAACATGTCACATTATTTTGTCTTCAGTCACTCTGTACTCCTCTGTCCTAATCTGTACTCAACTAATTTTCACAATTCACTAAGGTCACACTCAATTCTCATCCTTGTGCTCTCAACTGCTGAACCGTCCTGGGCTCTCCACTGACTTAACCTTAAACAGATATTCGTTATATAGGCACCACATGGACGACACAGAAAACAAGTCATATGATAGCTAGTACTGTTGCAGTGTGATGTCATTGCACCTGCGCAGAAGTCTGTTTACTAAGCCATTGCCTAGAAGCGGGTTGCGTAACCCTGTTGTTCTACTGTTTTGCACATATCCCCGGGTGTCTGTCGGTCCATACCTGCCAATGGCCCGGCCATCCGTGTTACAGTATGTTGAAAGAATAAGATCTGGTAGAACTCTACAAAAAGTGTAAAATACCAGGCCAGAGGAACAAGTCTGAAAAGATGGAGCAGTTGTAATACTAGGATCTTTAATGATGATAAATGATAATAATAGCAAGCACAGTGGTGATGATCTGCATAAGCTGAGTTAACACACCATTTTTGTTTACTTGACAGTCATGCTCATTGGCAAAAATGAATATTTTTTATTTGCTTATATAAAATCACATCATAATTCGGATGTAAAGCATAATATTGATAGACTTTGTGTATGACATTATGTATACATGTATATTATCTAGACAGTTGGAGACCCAGGTATATTGATGCTTACACAGTCCCTGAGGTTGGGAATTCTGCAAAGACTAGATTAGCTTCTTAGAGGGAATTTCTATTAGTTTTACACCCTCTGTTAGTGGAGAAAGAAAACTGAGGCATCTTCATGGTCTCTAGAACATGATACGGCTGATAGTAACCCTGCTGGTTGCATGCATCAGTGCAGAGCATATGGAAAACTGAACCTTGTGAAGGTGTAATACTCATGTCATGATCCTGGGCAGTGGGATTGTATATGTACAAGTATGTCAAGATGTAAAGGTTTATAATTCTTATTTTTGCTGTGTACAAGCTCAGTCTTCGTTGGACTGTATTCTGAGCCATTTCAATCCAGCCCACACCTTCACACTGTGTTTTTGTAAGATCCATTTTGGTATTATTACCCCGTCTAATGTAGGTCCCCCAAATTTGATTTGTTTCATTCTGGTCCATCACACTAACGATTATAAATACAAACCACTCCATCCAATGTGACATGTAAGCTTTTACTACGTTAAAACTTATCTCCCTTACATTTTTCGGTCCTTACAGGCCTTCTTCAGAGGGAACATCATTACAGAATGGAAACTACCATCACAATAGGTGTTTTGGTTTAAAATACATACACAGCAAGCCACAAACAAACCCTGGACGACATCAAGAACCTCCTCATCAACATAGACAGGCGGCACAAAATCTGCCCCACACAAGAAAGGAGTACAGACACAAACATACGTGGTTAAAATAATTTTAACCATTGACAATAAAGGTTTTTTAAATAACATCTAGAAACTTTACAACACCAGGAAGCTGCTGTGATTGTGAAACGTTTGACTTTATGCATACTGTGCATTATAGGATATAAGTGTATGTATTTTAAATCAAAACATGTATTGTGATGGTAGTTTCCAGTTTGTAATGATGTTCCCTCTGAAGATGGTCCGTAAGGACCAAAAGATGTAGGGGAGATAAATTTTAACGTAGTAAAAACTTACATGTCACATTGGACGGAGTGGTTTGTATTTATAGGTCCCCCAAGTATTGTATTTCAACCCAGTCAACACCTTCACCCTGTATTTCTATAAGATTCATTTTGGTATTATCACCCCATCTAACATAGGTCCCCCAAATATTGTATCTCTTGGGGGTTCCTGATTAATGTTTTGCATCTAATTCTCATTTGTCCCATCAATGCTGTATGTCCTCTACCCTCTTAAAGTAAAGGTAAAGTTGTCTTGACTTCAGCACTAGCTGGTGGTGAGTGGTCAGCTTCACGCTAAACCCCTGAGGAAAGATCCCCCAGTCCCCATTGAATAGGAGGCTGGGTGGGCTGCAGAGCTGTACTGGACAACATAGAAAAGAGAAAATTCTTGACCCTGCTGAGACTCAAACCCCAACCTCTGTTTGTCCAGACTGTAGCCAATCACTATACAGACTGCGCTATTCCAGCTTCCTCCTCCACCCTCTTAGCAGTATTAAATGAAGAGTAAAAATTATTAAACTTCTTATTATGTAATTTTCACCATCCTCCTCTTACTTCCTCCTAGATCTGAGTGATCCCAGCATTTTGCTACGAGACATCCACATTTTACCACTGTGTTCTTGCTTCAAACTAAGAGATCAAATTTCTCATCCATTTAAACACATGTAGTTTTACAGTTAGACTGCCTCTGTGGTCTAGTGGTCAGACGTCCGGGTTCAGTTCCCGGCGCTACCAGATTTTCTGAGAAGTAGTAGGTCTGGAATGGGGTCCACTCAGCCTCGTGAGGATAATTGAGAAGCTGTTTCAAGGAAATAAAGTTGGCACTAACTTCACCTACAAGCTGCAGTCACTCGGTCAGTATAGTTTACTTGCGGACTGAAGCCACAGAGTTTGTTTTTTTCTTTTTGTTTGTAGTTTTACAGTTCTGTATATTTCAGTAATTAGGTTTTAGGTACAACAATGAAAGATTCTGAACTGAATGGTTGCATGCATTTCCTATGTTTATCTTCCCTCAAGTTCAGCTTTAATGCCATTTTGATTGATTACTGTCATCCACACAAGAACCTGAACACATTGTGGTTAGTTTTACTGTGCTGTCAGTATCTTAGATTGTATGGCATTGATTGGTAGGATAATCGATGAATGATGGAACTGAAAATGATTTTGAAGAATGTAGTCATGTCCTAATCAAAGCACTATCCCAGCATTTGCTTGGAGGGGCTGAGCAAACCATGAATAATGCGTGTCTGGATAACTGGTGTCCATGCCGAGATTTGAAGCAATCGCCTCTTGAATGCAAGTCTGTGGCAGTGCTACTTCAATTTGCTTATTATAAGAACTTAAACTTTGTGACATTTTCAAAGGATTTATTAATTCTTTAAATTATGATTTAATCCAGTTTTCTGGTGACGAGACATAAGCTTCGAACATAATTCTTAGTTTCCTCTGCACTTACTAGCTTCTTACAGACTTTTCTGTTCCTTATGCCCTTTATGGTTTTTGATTGAGTTCAGATCTGTCAGCATTTCTTCTGATCAGATGAATCATGTTAACAGATACTCTATTTTATGACATTATGGATGTGTATACACTGCATTTCTTTAAATTCTTGTCACAGAATGACCATGGAGAATGTCCAGATCTCTTTCAATTGGGGGTACAAATTGCCTTGTATGCTGAACCTGTATACAGCAATTCAGAAATGTTGTATGTCTCATGATCCTTCTGTAGACACATGAGACCATGGGGGCAGGAACACTGGTAGTAAGTGAAATAATAGTCAGCGCGCATGTTGCCACAGAACTCATTCTCATTGCATTTATATATCTGAAACATAATAGGCCATTGTATGAGAGACATTCAATACAGTTATCATTGCATTTAAGTAGGTATGTTTTTTCAAACATACCAACATAAATCAAGAAAGTATATCTCATAAAAAGAAATGAACGTAACAGAGATACTGAGCAGGGCATTAGCACTGAAGTTAAGGCTGTGAGATGACTCAGATTGAAGTGGTTCAACCAGGTATTAGAAGACAGAGAAAAGAGAGGAAAGAGGTGGTAAAAAATTGAAGAGGAAGGATTATGGGAGGAAAGAAGAGATCGGAGACCTTTTATCTCTCACCTACGAGGGTTGGAACTTTTAATAGTGGCAACTATTTATTTACAACTGATATAAAATAGATGCATGTTTCGAAGTTTTATTTCTCCTTCAGTGTAGTCACCAGCATTGTGTACAACACATTGCCAGTGATGTGGAAGTTGTAGGATACATTTAGCAGCGCCTGTTGTGTTGATAGTTCGAATAGAGCAGTCTGCTGCCTGAAGAATCTCTGGAACAGTTCTGAAGCGAATGCCACAAAGTGGTTCCTTCATTATAGGAATCAAGCCAAGTCACAAGGGCTTAAGTCCGGGGAGTATGGCAGATGGTACAGCACTTCCCAGCCCCATCGATCGAACAAATCAGCCATAGCTTGCCATTTCTGCATTTCCGTCAAATCATGCGGAACCCGTCGTGATGTGATTTTTCTCATGCCCAGGCATTCCTTCAGAATGTTAAGCACAGTCGTATGTGCTAATCCTGTCTCTCGGGCCAGCTCACAAATCATATGGCATCGATGACTCTCCAGTAACGCAGAAAGAGCATACACTTCTTCTTCACTGACACTAGGATGACCTGGCTGACGCATGTCTGCCACATTTTGGCGTCCCTCATTGAAGGCTTTTTACCCACGTTGCCACCGTTCTGTAAGGCAATGCAAATTCCCTGGAAACCTCTTGAAGACCTTGATGACACTTGTGCGGTACGGCCTCTGGCACATTCAATCTTTATCCAACTCCATTGTTCCTGTTTCGAAAACATTGTGACAACACTACATTAGACCAGTTAACACGAGTCTCTGTTCCTCTCATCACTGCGCATGTGCGTGATGTGGGAAGGGAGAGTCCATTTGCTCTCAGGTAAGGTAGGTATGTAACTAACGTGTGGTATAAGCGACATTATTTGGTTCCATTGCATGGCATCTCCACAGCAGTGTTGCCAGTGTTCCAACCCTCGTATATAAAACAGAAACTCTCATATCTACATGCAGTAATGCCTATCAAATACAGAACCATGTCTTTGGTCTGAAAAATATGTAGTGAAAACCATGACAGTTTACCTCTATTATTTGAAAACATTCTAACTCAAAAAAACAGTAACTTAGTGTAAAGTGGTCAGCTTCAGTGTGTTTTGTTTTTTGTTGATATGATTTTGTTCCCAACAATTTTCCCTGGTATTTTGTCTGAAGAATCACATACCTGTCATCCAGAGTTTTGTTTGAGAAAGTACATTCTTGTTGTAATTGCTTAGAATTATCTGTATTAAACATTAGATTCAGGTACATGCCTTTTTAAGGCATTTCCTATTAGAATTTAAAATCTGAAACTCAGTATATGTTAAATAGACCCTGGGTTAGTGTGGAGAGAAAACAAGAATTCTGAAGGTGTTACATGGGTTCAGTTCCTTTGTTCTACATTTTATATGTTCCAACATAAAAGGAAAATTGAAATTAAACTGTTTTGCACTAGTCTCACCTTGAAAAAATGAATGAAATGTTAAGTTTGCAGCAAATAATAAAACTTGACTTGATGCTTTAGTTACCTCACTACATTTGTAGATGGTGCTTGTGTAAATAGTGCCATTCTCAGATTCACTGTTGGAGTATTGATGGAGCTTCCAGTAGCGATTATGTGGACAGTTGCATGCAGCCTGAATAGTTGTCTGCGTTGATGGCATGGAAGCAACGTTTTGTGAGACTGATGATGGTGTTACAGTTTCTGTCACTGTTATGGCCTGACTTTCTGCTGAACAGTGTAGCAGATCTGCTATGGTTTGGCAGAACTGAAACATAGTGCTTACTGAAAGTAACTGCTGCTCAGGTGGTGAGACTAATATGAAAGCTTGTCATTCATCACATGCCTGAAGAAATTGAAAACAGTTCACAAAGGTCCATTTTGCCCACGCAATAGCTGAAGCGGTTAGTCGCTGGCTTCCCACCGCTGTGGCCCGGGTCTGTTCAAGTGGGATTTGTGGTGGACAAAGTGGCAATGGGACGGGTTTTCTCCAAGTACTTTGGTTTCCCCTGCCAATCTTCATTCCACCAAATTCTCCATCATCACAATCACCCGGGTCAGACTACAATAGGCCAATCAGTGGCCGCTGTGCCGAGTGGACCCAGTTGGACTCCACCCCCCCACTAAGCGAAAAAAAAAGTCGATTTTAATATTATCTTCACATCTTCTTGACAGTCTCCTAAGTAGACCCTTTCCTAGGCAGAATTTTGTGTGTGCCTGCATGCATGTGTGTGCACATCCTACCCCCTGCATGGTCCATGTTCTGCCCATTTCATTGTTTTAATCACTCTGAGAGTACACAAATTTTCAAGCTGTAAATATCTCTTCTTGCTCAGTCTCTCTTGTACCAGCAGTTGTTCTCAAATATTCTGTTTTCTCTCAGAGTGTGTATTCCGGTGATAAGATATGAAAATCCAATTAGTTTTCTTGGATTTGTTCTCTAATCACATTTGCTTGCTGTTAATGGGGAATTCTATATTTTTAATATATATTTCTTTAATGTAAGAAAAGGTAAGTCTGTATGTGTCCTCCCTCTCCTCCACAACTCTTGAACCAGGCAATGGAATTTCATGTTACTGAGTGTAACATCATGCCTGTAGGAGACATTCCATCATTGCACCCTTTTAATTGCTTATGGGTGGTCCCTCCCTCCTCCTTCCCCCTTGGAGGGGTGTGAATTTGAAAATTTGACATCATGGTGGACACAGAATCTTTATTTAAAGTTTTGTTTGGTATCAATAACTGTGACCCAATGGAGCTGTACATGTGAAATTTTTGTAACAAAATAAATCATAAACTTCAGTAAAGATTCTGTGTTAAGTATTCCTCTGAGTTTTAAGTACAAACCTAGTGACAGCAACAATTTATATTTAGATCAGGCGAACTGAATCATTACTGGTCGAAATATATTCAAAAATTGGTCACTGAGTTATAGTTGGTTATTTATGCCCAATTGTAAATTGAAACATTTTGGCATATAGGTGTCAAGTTCATCTCAGAACTGATTGTACTTATGGTGTTTGTGTGTTTGCAGAACATACTGTAATGATTTACTTTTAGTTGTGAACGGTTGCTAAGGCTCATTGTGTAATTATCCTGTTTGCTGCTCCATTCCATGGGACACTCAGACCTGTGGGGACAGCGACACATTCTCTCAATTCGCATGCGAAACCAGAAGCGCCGGTGCAGAACATTGCATACAGCATTCAATTTGCACAGTGCTAATCCTCTTTCACTCTGAGCCTGAAAACCATACAAAGGGAGTCTTTGTTATTACTAATGATCTTAATAAGAATACTTTCCAGTGTTAACGTACTTTATATGAGGTAGCTTATTTTACTGCCTTTACATTTTTCAGCCCATTTGAGTCATTTTCAGAAGGCATACATTATAAAAGGAAGTGCTTTAAAATTGTAATATATTACAGCTTTGTCTAGGATTATAAAATTTCATCTGGTTATGAAATACAAGGTATGAACTTTGTTGTAATTTTCTTCTTGAGGTTGCTATCTGTTATTTCTGTTGTAGTGTATAGAGGTATTACTTATGGTTACCTGTAGCAATGCTGTTGTTTTTGCTGTAGTCTGTATGTTCTTTGCATTGCCTTGTGGTGGTATGACAGGTAGAGGGTTGAGGATGACAAGTTTCACAAGAACAGGTTTTATACAATACTATAGACGATATTATGAGCCTGGTTAGCCCAGTAAAGTAACAGAATACATGCCGAATGACTAGACTTAAATTCCCATAAGAGAAAAGAATTTTTGCCTTCGTTGCTATGTCCATACTTGCCTTTGTCATCTCCATCTAGTACCAAAGTCTAGATTGTGAAGAGCTTTCCCTCTGTACCCTCTCTACACATTTCCAATATAATGTTTAGACTCGAGGGCATCTACAGAATAAACTGGAAACATGATGAAAGAACTGGATTTGTTAGGCTGCCCCATAAAATGCACAGGAAGAAGATATATTCTGTTAGCTCTGACTTCATGAGACCGAGTTCTTTTTTTGAAGCCATTAGTTGCTCAGCCACTCAATAAATACCCAGCATTTTTGTGGAACTAATACATACATTACTTTGTTCACAATAGCCTGCCACTGGCTTCTATTCTGAGCCGGATAAATGCAGTCCACATTCTCACAACCTGTTCCCTTGAGATAAATTTTAATATTATCATTCTTCCTGGTGATTTCTTTCCTTTAAGTCTTGCCACCAAAACTTTGTACATATTTTCTCCTCTCCCCTCATCCTCTTTGATTTTGTCAGTCTGATAATATTTGGCATGGGGTACAAATTATGAAGATTTTCATTATGCAGATTTCTGTTATTTAACTCCTCTTAGGTCCAGATATTCTCCTCAGCACCCTATTCTTTATTAAAGGATTTGGAAATGTGAGGTTAAAATATTTGGCAGTGTAGAATGAATGAGGAAGAGAATTGCATTGGAATTGAAACCTAAAGCAGAAACGCTGTGTAGAGTCAAGGACACAGTGGATGAAACAAGCAAGAATTAATGTGAAAGATATGTAGTTGTTTAATGGAATATCTTCAACTGCATAGGTTGTATAGTGTTGAATGGTAGAATGATTATGTAAATTAATCAGAAGGAGTGTGGATTAAGGTACTATCCCATAATTTGCTTGGCAAAACTGTGGAAAATCATGAAGAAATTGGTTTTGATAGCTGGTCTCAGGACCAAGGTTTGAACCTGTGACGTCCTGATTATGTAGCAGAAGAACTGCTATGCAACAGAATTTGGTTAGTTAGAGAACAGAGATGCAGAAGTAACTGACTTGGAACTGTGGCATGACAAGACACAGATAGAAACCTTATCTTATTCTTGACCCTTGCAAAAAAATACAAGATAAGGAAGGATATGTTGGAAGACAGATAAATTGTAAAAAGATTCTGTTTTATAATACACGTGTCTATAATAGGACAACAAGTCATAATACTGGAAGAAGGATAATGTGCAAGATATGGACAACCCTCTTTTTCGTTTCTCTTCATTGAAATGTCTTGACCCTGACCTTAATAAATGAAGATAAGAGGAAGCCTTGATCCTAATAAGACAGCTTGTATCTTAATTAAGAATGTTACAGCAGTGGCCTTAAATTAGCTGTGTACTAATGAAGTGCCTTCTCTGAGACTGAGACAGTGCAACATTTGCCCAGTCAATGTTAACAAACCTTCTTGACGTTAATGTGACACATTACGTAAAACTATTATTTTGGTCTTTGCCCACCATCCAGTTTTATTAAAACTGCTGTTTTGGAAGTTTGTTCTGTTTCCATCTTAAGGTGAACAGGATATAAAAGAAAACCTACTCGGTTGGGTTCCTAAGTAGATCTACCCTTGAACCAAGATTTCTGTAGACAGGAGTTCCTCTTCTACGCTGAAGATGTTGGCACCACATTCCCCCCCCCAAAATGATGGTGTATTTATACCAGACTAGATATTGTTACATTCCAAAAAACAATTATTTTCATAAATTAGCTTTTAACCCCTTCAGCTGTCTAACATACTCATACCCCTCTACAGAGGATTTAGCCCACATTTAAGAACCAGGGTCCTGGAGGAATTGAAACATCCAGAATACCGGCTTCTCATACTGAGGTATCATGTAATGACCTAAAGTAGGAGTGATAACCACTGCATCACAGTGTTTTGTCCTTCTCTGTACCTGAGGAGGGTAGACAATGTCCAGAAGGTCTGATTTCCTGTTCACAGTGAAGATCTGCTGTGATGGTTGCAGCACAGCTGTTAGCAGTAGTAGCAATGAAAGAACTACAACTTGTGTCCACATGCTTACACTCTGGGCTGCACGTACAGACTGGAATGCCTTGTCCCGCCCACATACATTTCTTCCCATTGACATGCACTGCCTGCGCTTGTCTGTGCCAGTTCTACTGACAATTTCTTCAAAATGTTATGAGATAAAAGAAGAGTTCCAAGCAGAACTCAGAAAGCCTACTTCGTACTGTAAATACTTCCAAATTAGGAGCTGGGATAGTGCAATCGATATACCAGCTGGCTATGGGCTGTATTTCAGAGGTCAGAGTTCAAGTGCTGGTAGGGTCAAGAATTTTCTCTTCCCCACATCCAGACGGATTATAATCTAACAGTAAAATGCATTATCCTTATTATTATAGCACCCATCAATAATGCAACGATATTTTTAAAATATAAAAGACATCTGAAATATGTTTCTCACTAAAAGTATAACTTATATGCTAAAAGCGATTATCAGATTACTAAAATGTCTCTAGTTTTACATACGTTTCTTCTCAATTTACATGTTTCGGCCACATATGGGCCATCATCGGGTAATTTTTCTTTTGTTTTCAGGGAGATTACTGCACTGTATTAAAATATTAAAGTTACACTTTTAGTGAGAAACATATTTAAATGTCTTTTATATGTTAAAAATATTGTTGCATTATTGATGGGTACTATAATAATGAGGATAATGCCTCAATGCAATGAGATGCCGAAATATTATAATAAAATGCAGTTTGGATGGTAGGTGCTGAGATGATAATACAAGACTTAATATTTTTCTTTATTGCTTTAATTGTAGATGTGTTATATGTTGTTGACATTGTTACTGTTGCTGCAAAGGATCTTTGACTTATGTGTAGATTATGACTGCTTGAAATTTCATCAGATGTAGGCTTTGCAGTGTTTCGTAAACCATTTTCATAATTTTCATTACATAATTTATTTTAGGTTCTCTGCAATAAACTCCCCAAATACCATACTAAAATTTTGTTAGGAGATTTCAATGCAGAAGTAGATTGAGTAGATATTTTCAAACCCACAATTGAGAATGAGAGTTTGCACGAAATTAGTAATGATAATGGTGCAGTAATGCAAGAACAGAATTAACATCAGTAATTAACCACCATGAAAGCCTGCAAATGGTATTTTATATATGCTCTGTAGGTATGTTTATTATCCATCGTACTACCAAGTTTCATACACTTAACTGGAGTATTTCATTAATTACCAACATCAACCCAAAAGCAAAAGAAAATGTTCACATGGTCGCTATGTTATTGTTTTACAGTCTACAAACATCATTAAAATTTTCGTATTTTTTAAATGTCTATTAACATAACTTCTAGTCCCAAAATTAAGTTCCATTGTTGTTGTTCCAAAAGCACAACTTCCCTTGTCTGCTATGTTGTTATTACTGATTGGAGAAAATTAAAAAGAAAGTATGATGCTGAAGTGACCTCCAAAGAGATGTATCTGTTATGCCATAAAAGGGCAGAAACAAGTGTTCAGTAGTGGGTAAAATGCTCATGAAAAATTTTGTGAAAATCTTGCAGCTAGTTTGAAATATGAACTGGGCAGACACATAGACATCATGGTGATCCCACAAGTTTTACCTTTCTCCTTAAGGAAGGAAATTAGGCTAAAATTACATATTCAGTTAATACGATATAATAAAATATCTAATGTTGTAATAGAAATGGGGCAATGTGCTGTTGAGAATATTTCAGCTTATTAGTGATGAATCCCTAGGAGAACTGAGAATATTACATAATGAGGAATTACATAGTTTTCTCTTTGCCTCGTATTTTTAAGGGAATTGGTTCAAGATGTGTGAAATGAGTACAACATATAAGTGTGTGTGTGAGAGAGAGAGTTGTGGATGGGTTTTGGCTTGGATGATTGGATTTATTGACCCATTATACACTCCACTTGGAACTAGTCATATCCTGGTAACAGATTTATAGCAGTCTCACTGTCACTGCAGCACACATGAAGTCTTCTTTGCACAGCCTAATTCCTTTCTTGCCATTTCTTCTCAATTATTCTGCCAACTTTGGAGACTGTCTCAATTCTCTGGGCCAACTGCCAACTGTGGAACTTGACTCAGTTCTCTGCTGCAGTTGCAAACTCCGGAATTCAGTTCTAATTCTAGCTGCATGAGATCCTCGTTGTATAGTCTCAGGGCAGACCCACAGAAAACACCGCTTCCTCTGGTGTTGCATGTTGAATCACTGCTACAGAGATGTGTTTACTGCACAGTTGTGTAGCACCAAGCACAGTGCGGACCCATAGAGAACACCACTTGCAACACCTCTTCTATTGTTGCATGATGTCACAGCGTACATGACACATTTCTCTGCTGCAGGTATATGGGCTGCTATAGCAACAGCTGTTTCTGTGCCTTCACACTTCTTGCTTTGAGCAAATATACCACAACATAAAAAGTATTGAAGTGACCCAAGATGGTACAGTATTGCAGGCTTTTGTGAATACAGTGGTAAATCTTTGGATTCCATAACCAGAATTTCTTGAACAGATGAATAGCTATTAATGCTTGAGGAAGACCCGAACCATCTACCTTTAAGTGATTTATTGTTTGATTGGTGGTTGTATATTTTCAGTCTGCTTAGTTGAAATGTTGAATACTGGGGTTAATTCTGTTGAAGGCAACATAGATCTCACTGTACAGGTAATCTTTATTCTCGGAACTTATGTTAAATATGAGATCTTGTGGTTCACTTGCCCAGCTGTCTGAAATTATTGTGATGAGATAATCTTACATAGTGTTGGTCGAATGAAAAATTTAGCAAACTGCAGTCCCACATTTTGCAGTTCAAAAATAATTTGGGAACCACATCAGTGGCAACCGTATAATACTTGAATGCTGATAATCGTTTGAAACTTTACTGAGAACAGAGATGAAAGTCTGTATATGTATGTGGTTGTTTGATTGATTGCTTCATTGTATGAGTGAAGTCAGTATTATTTATTTGTGTTGAAGTAAGAACATTCTCGCAGATACAGATTACTTTGACTTGATCTGTGGAAAGTTCTGATTGGTCTGCATCCCTGCAGTCCTATTTCCAGTGATCAATGATTCATGATCTCCCGCCTCTTTCATATGGTCCCAAATGATCACTTTCCAAAATTCTGTATGCATATGTCATGCCCCATTTATGTGTGATATTATCTTACAGTCAATGGAAGCAACCAAGGCCCTGCTACGACATACTTTGCGGGCAAAGGTAGAAGCAGCGTTGGATTCAGAAGTGTCCCTTCTGGTGCAGCACTGGATTAGCACAGAATGCCAGACAAATTTTCGCCGTTTTTTGGATCATGAAGACATTGGATTGCAGCGTCAAAGATTCGACCTTTGACCTCCAAATTAACAGAAGAGCCTGTTGAGGTATTTGTTCAGTGGCAGTGTATAGTTTTACATCATTGAAAAGAGAAGTTACTTTTTAATATATTTCAAGTATCATTGTACAAAATGTTTGTGGCAGGTCTTGATAGGCATGCTGCAATACACTATCAAACAATGTGTTTAGGTAACATTTTTTAAATTCCCTTTAAATCTATTCAATACAGGAGTAACATGTTAATTTTTCGAAGTTGAAAGATTCAAAGCTCAAAAGATTGACCTCATAATTGAGGCCATGTCTGAGATCCTGAAGGGACTGTGCTAAGAAGTGCTGAGAAACTGACTTGACTGTGATCTGAGCCCTTTACTTCACCTTGATGACCTGACATTTATTTTTGTACTGAAGGTGATTTGTTGGCTTTCATCTACCAGTTACTATTCGTGCGCTGTCACCACTTGTCATTAGGACTTCTTGTTGCTTGAATGGGAGTAGTGCATTGGATGCAGAGTGGCATAAAGGGAACAATTACCATTTGTCCTTATCATAAAAAGGAACGTACTCTTTTGTCTGTTAGCTTGTTGACACGTTTTATTATCTGTGTCTTGTAATGACACCTGTGCTTGTTTTCAGTAGTTTGGAAAAGAAATAACAGTGAAATTATTTTCGTAATCAGAAGATAGTTTTAAGGAAGACTGTAAATAAATCCGATAGTAGTTGCCCATTTGGGACATATACTTCTTGAGATGTGGAAGGTGTCATAGTTGATTTTAATCATTAGCACTGTGATGGCAATACAAATTGTACCATCCATTTTTATATTTAAGAAAAAACAAGGTTATCTTATTAAATAATTTCTAAGTATTTATTTAGGGGAAATGTGTAGCATACTTATATTATTATATATGTCATTGTGCATCAACAGATGTTGCCAAATGTAATACACTTCCTTCCATCACTTGTAGTAGTTGTATTCGCTGTTTTCTTTTGTACAGCTGTCAGTTTTATGACTGTCTAAATACACTTAACATTGTAGATTAGTCATTCCAAATAATTTCCATGTCATTTCTAAATTTATTGTACTCAAATTATTTTAAATAGTATAATAAGACACATGGAAGGCAACAATTTTTTCTGTTGCGGCATAATTAGTAACCTACACACTATTTATACCAGAACTGATCATTCAGACCAAATTTTAAACCTCTTTTTATATATGCATTCTGTTTATATAAAATACTCATGTATTAATCAGTTTTAATTTTATATTCACATCAGTGAAGTATTTAAAATTCACTTTAAATCAAATTTAACTCTGGAATGAATGAGAGGCATTAATTGGCTCTCTTTACTATATGGTGTGCCCCAAATTCTGACCCATAGAAGACTTTGGTTATATAGCCAAATGTGAAAAATCTGTTGCAAATGCTGTTTCCAATCCTAAATGTTGGAATTCCTTACCTAGGATGAGCTGTTACAACACTACACTCTTTACATATCAGTGGTAGAAAGCTACAGTGAGGTTGCCAAGGTGTAGTGGGGGAGAGAGAGGTTCAACATGAAATATGAATAGTGAATGAAATCGTTGAGTTTGTGCTGGTACAGAAATAGTGTTACAGTGATACTAACTGTGTTTAAATGTTTCAAGTCCACAAAATCACACTTGCATGGAACAGTACAAAGGTTCATACATCACTGCAATAAGTATTCAAACTGGTATCCAACATGTAGCTCACACAAGTGAATATTTCACCATATGCTGGAGTGCACATGTCACAGAGGCAGTGGCTGTGCATGCAGCAGTGCCACTGTCAGTAGCACCAACTGTACTTGTGCATATTGTAGCACAGAAGGGGTACAAGGGCACTGTGACTAGATTGAGGGCTATGTCCTGTCATATTTAATATTTTACCATCACAGTGTAGACCTGCCTGTCTCCCATTCACATTCAATCTAGGAGACTGGCTACCCTACACATGGTTCACCATCATCATCATCATCATCATCTTTGGTCTTTCATTGCAGTTGCCAAAACAGAGCTTTAAAATAGGCCATGACCCCTTCCACATTCTTTCCACATCATGATTTATAATTGTCTTGTCATTTCTCATTTGACACTATATAGCATATGTAGTTGTCACAGTGTTGTTAAATAAATCATGAAACAGGGATTCAGTTGCTGTAATGTATCTGCACAAAAGCAAGAAAAATTCACATTCTGCTTTGTAAGTTCATTAACTTTTTTTTTGGTCACTTTCATTGAGTACAGAAGATTTGATAACAGATGTTAGTAATTTCTATACAGTGATTGTGTTACCAACACAATTGCAGCCTTGCTCAGAAGAAACTGAAAATATTGGTAGTAAATTTGAGTGGTTGACTACGCTTACAGTATTTTTCCTTCGGTAGATTTGTATTGCTGTACTTTTTATTAGAATTGGTTATTGTCTTGTAATTATTGTAAATTAAATAATATAGTATGTAATGAAATGTGTAATGTATATGACATAATTAGCATGATTACATTGATTTGGGAAGGTCATGTGAAGGCCCATTACCACCATAATGGAAATAGTGATTTCAAGTAGCTGAGAATGTTAATGGTTCATCGGGTTCCTGAAATATAATTTGGAATAGAGAAGAATGTTTAAGAAACTGAAATTGTCTTCATACCTATTGTATAGAAAGATATCAGTCTTAAACAATTACACCGCTAACACTACCATTGCTGTGTTCTTCAAGCACCGACAGATTTGTTACCCAGGTCCCTTTTGTAGGACTCGCTTCATTTTAGCAGGAAGAGTGCACTTACTATTTTTAAATCGTGTATTAAGAATTTTACATGAAAAACAGAAGGGCGAGGTGGAAAATGAAATTTCTCAGGGTTGGCAGTTGTGGCGAAAGAACATCATAGAAAGAAAATAATTTTGTTGTTAATTTAATCATTCCTTGCATTTCCAAGTCTGCCTTAAAGACTCACAGTATCTTAGCTTTTTACCCAAAAAGCTACCTACAAAGAGAAATGTAGATATCTTTCTTTTGTGAGTTTGTGTGAATAAGAGATGTTCTTAATATATAATCGATAAACTTTTCTTCCTTGTTTGTACAACAACATATTTTCTACTCTGCCTCATTTTCTTGAATTTCCTCTCTAGTACAGAGTGAACCACAAGAAAGGCCAATATAGACTGGTTATAAAAGAATCCCAAGGAACGTGAGCATTTTCTGTTGCAGACAAGTTTCTCTCTAGCACACATTCTTCCTTCCAAACATAATACCATAGGGTGCATACCCCATATGTATATATGGCCCAGAATACAAGTTTGCTTAATGCTGCATTCACGCACTATACTACACTGTTACTGAGAAGTACACATTTTCAGGTTTTTTCCTTCTGTCTTGTTTCCTTTTCCCAGTATACCACATGTTAACCATTTTATATTAATACAGGGTGGGGCATATAAACCTTTCTGATTTCAAAAATGCGTGGAATAGAAATAAAGAAAGATGCAGGCAAAATTATTTTATTATTTGAAAGGACATAGAATACAGTTTTATTTGAATGCGATTTAAAAATAATATCTTCCAAATGGCCACCCCCGTTTTCCATACACTGACGGAGCCTGTTTCGGGAGTTTTCTATGACTCTACAAGTCATATTCCGTGGAATAGTGTTGATTTCTTCGGTGATGGCAGCCTTCAGTTCATCGATGGTTCGGGGACGATGTGCCTTTGCCTTGAGGTAACCCCACAGGAAAAAATCGCATGGTGTTAGATCAGGCAATTTGGTGGGCCACCCAATGTCACCCTGCAAAGAGACAAGATGACCAGGAAACATTTGTCTTAGAATCTCCATTGAACGATCGAAGATGTGGCCCATAGCATCATCTTGTTGGAACCAGATATCTTCCAGGTCATGATCTTGCAATAGTTCATCCAATTTCGGTAGAAGGAAATTTTCAAGCATGTAACAATATCAAGCAGAAGTCACTGTAACAACTTCACCATCTTCGAAGAAGTAGGGACCCCAGACACCACAATCGGAAACAGCGCACCACACCGTCACTGGAGAGCTGTGGAGTGGTCGTTGGTGAAGGTTCCGAGGGTTATTCTCAGCCCAGTAGCCGAAATTTTGTTTATTTACAGTCCCGGACAGGTGAAAATGGGCCTTGTCAATACAGATCAAAACAGCTGTGGAAGGGATACTCTGCAGAATGTCGTTGCACAAATTTCTTCATGTTTCAGAGTCTCTTTCACTTAACTCTTGCACTATGTGCATCTTGTATGGGTGCATTTTGAGGTCTCTGTGAAGGATTCTTCTAACTCTATGGGCAGATAATCCAAGTGCAGCAGCGTGCTTCCGTGCAGAATGCTTGGGAGATCGCAAAATTGAAGCCCGCATTCTAGCCACATTTTCTGCCAACGTTGAAGTCCTGCTCCGGCCTGAAGATTTTCTTTTTAATGCAGAAGATGTCACTCTAAAATTTGATGCCCAATTTCTAATTGTTGGTCCAGTGGGAATGGGATCACGCCGACCGAGAGCAAAGTGAGTGCAAAAGGCTCGCTGGGTTTTGATCATAGAACTGCCATTTTTAATAAACTCTTCCAGCACAAACACACGATGTTCTCCTGACCAAGCCATTGTGTGTACTGAAAACTGCACATCTAATGATACCATCCCCACCACTCTACCCCCTCCCTAGCCTCAGCAATGACCTTGTGAAATCGGAAAGGTTAATATGCCCTACCTTGTACCTTCATTATGCAGTTTGTTCATACACATTATTTTTTGGGGCACGCAGTAGCATAATTGGTTGAGGCATTATGCTACAAGCTGGAAGGTCACAGGTTCAAGCCCCGGGTCATTTTTTCAAATTGACCTAATCCTTCCAGCCTCTAACAGAAATGAGTACCAGGAATTAATTAAATAATTTTCCTGGGGGTAAAGCATGGCTCGCGCATAAGGCTGACAACCATACCGCCAACTTTGAGCCCATTATCTAGAAAATGTTGGAGCCTCAACATCTCACAACCCTATGGATCTTCACAGCCTGTTAAGGGATACCTTTACTTTACTTTTTACTTTACATTGTTTTTTAAAAAATATGCCAGTACCACAACCTATTTACACCTTTAAGTCCTTTTTGAGAGACACTATATAGTCTGTTTTTATAAAGTTTGCTCTCAATTTAAATATTTATTATTTCACATGACTTTTTATTTCTTGTCTAGATTCATACCCGTTACATGTTGCATAGTACAGTGACAGCTCTAACCATGCTGACTGTGTTATCTGCAGTTTGTGTGTGAATCATTTGTTGTCCTGTACTCCATTAATGTTGGCTGGTTGGTTACATATACTACTCATTCACAACAGTGCCACAGTCAACAAATGTTGAATGCTATTTAACACTAGTTCAAAAAGCACATTATATTGGTAAATCTGATGAGTATACATTGTCAGAATTCTCTGATCATATTTATAAATATAATACTGGTTCCATATGTCCATGAGACATTCTTTATGCATGATTTTCAATATTTGCATAAATTTGTGTATTTTACCATATCTGTGCTGTGTATTTAGAATGTGTTTTGCATATATAGAATTGGTTCTTGCTGCATCTAATATCATGCAAATGGCCTTTATATCTGATTCTAAAACTTCTACTCATGTGACCAGTATATACGTTGTTGCATTGTGTACATCTCAGTGTGTGTATGCAAACTTTGTTTGTACTTTTACATATCTTTTGTTTCATCATTAATTTTGATTGCAGCATATTATGCATTGTAAAAAGTGGTTTTATGTTTCAGTTCTTGAATGTTTTAGTTTAAGTCCAAATTTGATTCCCAAGAAAAGTAAATGTTGACTAGAGTGGTTTTTGGCCTTGTTTATTTCTAATTTTGTATTAATCTTTTTACATTTTTTGTTGCTTTCAGTTACTATGTTCTGTTGGTATCAAGTTTCCTTCACTATACTGTTTATAACATCTAAGTCATTATTATCTCTCTTGCGCAGAAGTACACTGTCTATTTTATCTTTTATTCTTCTAGTGGTAGGATCCCCAATTTATTGTTGTAAGGGCTAAATAATATAATTTATTGCTTTTTTCTTCCTCAGACATGAAACTTATTGCATGATGTATGATATTAAATTAACACATAATTTCTTCTGATGATACTTTTGTATAGGCATCATCAAGAACTTCGAGGATCAGGTTGTTGACACCAGTTCTAGGAATGCCAAAATTTGGTCTCTCCATATTGTCCCAAGTCTTGTCATCTCCCCAATCAATAACAGACTGATAGATATAGTAGTCAATCTCTTTGTTTTTTCCAAGTGATTCCACTCTTTTTGGTATCTTTGTATCTCATCAGCTGTTACGTTTTTAACGTTAGTGCTTCCGTGATGTCAGAATTTCTTTGGGCGGTCTGATGTAGTGATGCCCAATAGCAATGTCAAAAAATGCATTTGCACATTTCTGAGACTTCTTTTGGTTTAAAATCTGATTTCAGTACCATAATTAATTATTGCTCTATATGATATATACAGTCATATAGTCATGTCATGAACTTAAGTTACTCATAATTTTTTTATTAATTTTGATACGTCTTGTTCAAAGTTTGTAAGAATAGTTTGGCTATACTAGATATGGGTGTCCCCCGTGTTGCCTGTAAATCATCGTTTTGATTGAAATTTTTCTTCTTTTAGTGTAATTTTTGTTAATTCTATCATTTGTCATTCTATGAAAAGTCTGATTTGTGACTGGAATGTTCCTTCTTTGATAAATAAAATTTTGCAGTATAGTATTAAATTTTTCAGAAATGTGATTTCTTTATTGTTTGGTGCTGATTATGTTACTTGTGCATGTCAGTGTCCAGTGTTGGTAATTACATTTGTTTTGCATAATCGCCCTAAACATTTATAGTGTTTCATCTTTTGTGTTTGGTACTACTTCCTTACTGTGCCTTATAGTACATTGTGAACCCATTCAAGTTTTAAATATAAACACTGATTTCAGATGACAGATCCCTGCAAATTAGATAAGAGTTTAATGTGTTTCATGAACGCTGCATCTTAGTAACTGATACTGATTTGTTAACCTTTTTCATGTCAGCTTTATTACATACTGTGCTGTATGCATTGTCTGCCCTGTTTTAGCCCAAGTATATATTCAGATGCCATGTAGCAACATTTGAATTGCTAGCAACAGTATTGAATGCATATACCATATATAATATTCCATTAAAACCAGGAAGCTCTTTGCATTACTGACTTCTCTTTCTTTCTGTTTCTAAATAAGTAGTTACAGTGAACAATAGGCAACTGATGGATTGAAATGGCAGTGATATGGCAGTGCAGACAGCTACTTTGTCATTACATTACATTATACAAGGTGATTCATATAGAACCAGCCCAACAAAATGAGCTGTAATATAAAATATACCATACAGATATTAAAGTAATTTACACATATCTTATCTTGGATTGTGTGCTGTGATCAGAGCAGGTGTTGAAAGTGTCCGCTGTTTTCAAGCAAGCACTAGAAACACTCGCTGTTCAATAGTGTACTCCATGACTGTCGCCTGCGCACTGCAGACACGTTTTGGGATTGTCCTTGACCTTGCAGCATAACGGCTGCCACTTGCCGGATCATGCGCACACCATTCGACTCAGCACTACCCACAGATTATAATGTCGTAATTGTGAGCAGTTATATGCATCACCTGCAGAATTATTAACAAATTCATCGGGCCGGTTCTATAGGAGTCACCCTGTATTACATTGCATTCCCTGGATCAAAAGTTAGTCAAGATGACTGTAGGATGTGGAATATGTCATATAAATATAAAACTATATGTACAGTACAACTGAAGTTTTGACATTGAAAGGGTTATATAACAAATAATATTATTTGCTGTTTTCCTGCAACATAGTGTTCCTTTTTGGAGCTCACTGAACTGTTCCATTGGTCATTAGAGCAGAGTTATGTATGTTTGTTGTAGCTTCTAATGTAAATTAGCTATAATTTGTATGGCATAAATTCTGAGGTGTTCAAACATGTTTCCCCCTGTCCCACAACTGCCAATTAAAACTTTTTTAAAATGGTGCTTAATGGTACATAATCAGTAGAATCATGCTGCTGTCTGCAATACACTATGATGCTGTAGTTCCATTCATTCAAGGTTTAAACATTTCCTCATATAATTTATTTGAACTAAGAAGACTTCAGCTGTAGAGAATTGGTTATATGGGCAATTTTTTACAGTGACGCTACTCATGTTTATACAGTGACTTTTAGTAAAATGAGTGACTGATTCTCAGGTAAAAGAACCCAGAGATTACTATCACTAATACAGAAGCGCAAACTGCTAGAGACAATCCTAAATCATTTCACTCACTTTCCAGTCTGACAACCTGCTAGAATTGTATTGTCCTTCACCCATCTGTTAAGTTTAAAGTTAAGAAGTGTGTGATAAAATGGTTGTTTCCACACTAATGGAAGCAAATTTTGACAAAACCATTTAAGCCAGAAATTGCAAGTCATTGAAAATAAATAGTTTTGCTTCATAAATATTTGAAAACTTAATATTTACAGACGATGTATAATAGTGCACAGAATTCAATATATATGATTCAGCTGGGACAGTGTAGTCAGTAGAGTGACTGGCCATGAACCAATGACCAGGGTTCAAATTCAGCAGCAGGAATTTTACTGGACATACTCAGACCAGCTCTCAGACCCACACAGAAAATGGCCAGAGCATGTACCTACCACTCATCTCCATTAAATGGTGTGGCTGGAAAATTTGTAATGTTGCCTATTTTATACACTTCTATATAACTTTCATGGCATGGTGACGAGACACGGGAAATTTTACCTGTATTTTGCTCCAAAAAGAGGATAAGTAATTCTTGGTATAAATTATATGAGAAAATGTAATTCCTTTTTATGTTGTGATATGAAAGATAATTTTTTAAAAGGGGAACTTGCAAGTGTTCGTAGGTCTTGGATAAGCAATAAGTGCTTGTTTTGGTATTGAACTGTTGATCTGAATTATTTTAATGCTCTGCAGAACTGTAATAGAAGGCAATACAAGAATTATTTGATTATTATACTGGTATGTACATGTTATTAATTCACATTGAGTTTTTACTTTTGAACTTATTTCGGATTTTCAAAAATTATTGCTGTATTATTGAAACATGTTTACTACTTGTTATCGGCTCTTTTTATGTGACTGTGTGTGTGGGAGCCCATGCACACGTGTGTGATTATGGTGGATAGGTTCATTTGGGTCAAAATACCATCCAGAATTAATTAATTCATTTTATCAAAACATAGTCATACTGTTGTTTTCTTATTTATTCTGTGTATATTTTTACTTTGTTAGCACATAATTTCATAATCCATCTTGTGAGTCCGTATTCCACAAGAAGTTAGTAAATGATTGAGGGCACCTGGAATGATTATTTCTACCAATGTGAGAAAATAAGCAAAAATTATTTCATTAATTGTATGGGCCACAGAGCTAATGAATAATAAACAGCATTTGAAATTTGTTTGTTTTTGTTTATGTTCATATACTTCCATCTGTTTTGAGAGGCTACAAAATAATTACATAAATATGATGTAACTTGTTGTGTAGTTTGTTCTGGTACATTCTCCACTACCCTGAAGAAGGACGATAGAACCGGTTTTTGGATCATACTTTTTGTGTGGTCACTGGGAAATATATTGACCATCAAAAATTTTTGTGTCATGGAAATCCACCTTTGTACTTTTAAGTAAGCTCTCGTCAGAAGAATACATCCGAATCAT